ACTTTGCAGCAGGGTTTGGGAAAGATCAGAGAAATAACAGGGAAATTCCGCAAAACGCATGATTGCACCACAATTTTGTGGGGAAGCCAGGGGAAAAAATGCTTCCCAACAGCACTGAATCCAAGGAAGTTGGAACCTTCTCCATATATTACAGGTTTAATTCTGGGTAGCAAAGGGAAGGCATTTAAAGTTTAAATACCTTCCCTTTCCTGGAGAGTCGCACTGTGGAGGCGGCACGAACCCCAGAGAGAAGGGAAAGTATTTAAAGTTAAAATACCTTCCCTTCACTGGGGAGGCACGGGAGAGTGAAAGGAAGGTATTTTAATTTTAAATGCCTTCCCTTTGCTGGGGAGTCACACCACAGAGGCAGCATGAGCCTGAGAGGGAAGGGGAGGTATTTAAAGTTAAAATACCTTCCCTTCGCTTGCTGAGTCGCACTGTGGCTTGATGAGTGAAATTATCTATTATACCCTATGGGGACGGTCCCCATAGGGTATAATGGATGCAAATATATTTGGGTTCCCAAATATCAACCCGAATACCAGTGGGAGAGCAATACTGGTATTTGGGCATATTTGGGTATATTTGGGTATACAGATTTTTTTTTGATCCAACAGACCTGAATCCAAAATAACCCCCCCAAATTTTTTGCACACCCCTAGTGGAGACTGGAGATCTCCAGACCACAGAGATCAGTTCCCCTAGAGAAAATGGCTGCTTTGGGGTGTGTGCTCTATGACATTATGCCCCACACTTTTAATAATAAAAAAACTGAAAAGGGCATTCTCAAAAAAAATTATATAGTTTGTATGAAACAAATAAATAATAAATGCCATACACACAGCATCTGTTGTACAAAGGATCTTGAAATGCAAATACTTTCTTCAGATATCTGAAGAAGTGAGCAGTGACTCACAAAAGCTCATACCCTGCCACAAATCGTGTTAGTCTTTAAGGTGCTACTGGACTCTTGCTCTTTTCTACTGCAACAGAGAGATTAACATGACCAGGGGTCGGGGGCGTGGCGTCGGTGCGAAAGGCAATGGACGTCTAAATACATGGCTCCCGCCGAAACTCTCTCAAACTAGCCACAAAATCATCAAATCGTAAGTTTTTTTCCTTTACCCGGCATGGGAAAGAAGCCCAATCCTGAACCTAGTCCTGTTTTAAAAGAAAACAAACGCGTTTCTTCCTATTTTATGAGAAACACGAAACCGGGGCCCGCAGAAAAACGGACTGTTTTACCACCTAAAATGGCGGCCGGAGCTCCCGGGCAGCAAGCGGAAAACATTGGGGTAAGCCGGGAAGAATTCCATGGCGCATTGCAAGCGCTAGAAAGAAATATGGTTTCTACTATAACGGATTTGTTGAAACCTATAACAACGGAGGTTGCTGAATTAAAACAGACGGTCGCCCAAGTCACCCAAACTGCTGATACAGCTCTAGAGAGCAGCCTATTACTGCAGGATGACGCATACTACTTTTATAAAAAAGATGACTGGGCAACTGAAAAAATAATAAGCCTTGAAAACCAACTCAAAGCGAACAACATTAAAATAAGAGGGATTTTGGAAAATGTAGCTCAAGCCTCTGATTTAAAACCATTTCTAACGGAATGGCTAATGAGATTGTTGGATCTGGGTCCTGACCAAACCCACATAATAGATGCAGCCTACAGAGTTGGTGCTACAAAACAACGGCAAACCAACTACCCTAGAGACGTGATTGTTAAAATGGCAGACCCTAAAATAAAACACAAGCTTCTGGCATTAGCCAGAACCAAAGGTCCCTTACAGCTACAAGGCAGCAAGATTCAAATATATCAGGACCTGACATCTGAAACGCTCCAAAAACGAAAGGCGTTGAAACCTATCACACAAACGCTGTCAGCAGCTCAAATCACCTACAGATGGGTGGCTTATTATAAACTACAAGTCTCTGTGAATGGCACCACCCTACAAGCGTCTGATTTAGATACCGGCTTTAAGCTGCTGCAGGATCTCCAACTCCAACCGCCGGCGGACCTTCCAACGGAGAACCCTCTCATCCCGCCTCTCCCACGAGAACAAACCATTTCCCGTTGGCACAAGATAAGAGGCAGAAAGGACCGTGCAACAGGGCCATTATGAGAGATTATAGCACCAAGTTCGTCAGCATATTCATTGAGACTTAAGACCACTGGTAAAGCACCGATTAAACAACAAACGTGGACTTTGATCATTTTTGAGGAAGATGCATAGGATTAATACCATCTAACTGTAATCATACCCACGTTTGGTATTTGCTCATACCATTAAGGAGGCTCAACGTCGCAAATGACTAGAATGAAGCTCTGTTTATTAAAACGCAATTTATCTATTATTTTGTTCTTGACATTTTCAGGCAAAGACATATATTTGCAGTGCTATGATATTTTTAAAGGTAAAGTGAGAACTTATCTTTTTTGAATGACGCTTTCATCCGGCAAAAACTTGTAAAAACTTGTTAGCTAATAACATTAATATAATTTAACAGCTATATGATCATTTTAGAATGTTTTATTTGCTGATTGTAAGCATTGTTTTTTTTTATGAATTTGTTTTTATTTTTGGATTTTATTATTTGCTTCCTTCTTTATTCATATGGTGAAGTAAGAACCTATATATTATTTTGATTGTTGATTATAAAAATTTATATTTGTAGGATTATGCGATCCAAAGGAAAGAAAGTAGTGTTATGCTTGTTAATTATAAATATTATTGATGCTTGCCGGTTATAAAAACATTTTTTACATGTTCTAAACAAGTTAAAAATAATTCAGCACAAAACCAGTTAAATTAATACTTGTAATATTAGAAAATGATGATAATCAAATTTCTTTTTTCAAGAGAGAGTAGAGGTGGGTAGCCCAATGTTTGTTTCTGGCTCCCACCTTTCCTTAAATATTATTATTACTATTTTAGTAATTAAGATTCTATCCCTAGAGAAAAGGGTCTACAGGGTCCAAAAGATGACTCTGTGTTTAGTTGGTATTTATTTAATGTTTTGGAATTTAAGGTTTTATGTTCATTTCCAGATGTTTGGTGTTGTTTTAGTTATTAGAAGATATTTGAGACGAAATGGCTTATCCTCACGACAAAAAACTATAAAGCTAAGAGAAATGAGCTATATTTTATTCTTTTGGAACAATGTTTCTGTCACATTTCCAACTACCTGGTTCTCTCCTGTAAGGTATCAATTTTTAGTATCATCTTCTGTACCTTTATCCATATTAAAGAGCCCTATTGCTTTTGACCTAAACTTACAAAGAAGAATGCAAATGAATATATCTATTTTTTTGAAGAAACTTAATGGCTGTGAATATTGGTGACGAAACCAAATTTTTAACTTTGAATTGTAAGGGCTTAAATTCACCTATTAAACGTAAACGAATATTGAACGCACTATTAAAACAAAAAACGAATATAATTTTTTTGCAGGAGACCCATCTCAAAGGAAACTTAGATAAAGTTTTCTCATCAAATAAATTCTCCTTTCAGTATCAGGCCCAGGGGACTTCCAAGTCACGTGGCGTGGCCATACTTATAAACAAAAATATGAGGTTTCAATTGATTAATTTACAAAAGGACCCGAGAGGCCGATTTCTTTTCTTGCATGGTTTGCTAGATGGTAAAGAAGTAGTTTTAGTATCCATCTATGCTCCAAATACTGGACAAATTGAATTTTTGCAAAACACATTTTTAGAACTTTCAACATTTAGCACAGCCCCATGGATAATTGGAGGTGATCTCAATTATGTTATAGATAATTCTCTGGATAGAACTACTATAAAACCTAAGACCAACTTAAAACTAGCTGCCTCTATTCAATCTAATAAATCTGAGCTATATAAATTACTTACTCAATTTAACTTAGTAGATGTCTGGAGAAAGTTATACCCAAATGTTAAGGACTATACGTTTTTTTCACCATGTCACCGCTCTTATTCAAGAATCGATTATGTTCTAATTTCATCTTCAATTTCAAATTTTGTAAAAGACTCTACTATCGGCCCCAGAATTTGGTCTGACCATTCTATGGTGGACTGTATCTTATATAATACTGAAAAAACACACCAAATGCACACATGGAAATTGGATGCACGGCTTTTATTAGCACAAACAACAACAGATACAATTGAAAGAACTATTAAGGATTATTTGAAACATAACATGTCTTGTGGAGTCCCTCATCACACTGTTTGGGATGCATTGAAGGCTGTAGTGAGAGGACAATTCATTGCCATAGCCTCCTCTCTAAAGAAAGAAAAACAAAAATTAATTGATGAATTAATCAGCAAAATTAAGCATTTGGAAGATGATTATCTAAAATTTGGCCGGAAAAAAACATATAAATCTTTACTCTTAGAAAGAAAGAAACTTGAAACACTTGAAGTTTCTCAAATTCAAAAAAGGATAGCTTTCCTTAAGCAAAGATATTGGTATAAATCACCCCAGTCAATTAAACTATTAGCCTGGAAATTTAGAAAGAAAATAAACAATAATGCCATACATGCTGTCAAAGATAAAACTGGGCAACTGAAATATAACACAAAAGAGATCTCAAAAGCTTTTTTTGATTTCTATGGTTCTCTATACAACACTAGCTCACCCAATGTAAACCTAATAAATGAATTTTTACAAAAGTACCCATTACAAAATAAACTGTCAGATGAACATAAGAAACAATTAGAAGAACCTATAACATCTTTAGAAATCTTAAGCACCATTAAAAAATTGAAATCGGGCAAATCTCCAGGTATTGACGGATTTACCGCTGAATTCTATAAAAAATTTTCAACATTATTAGCAGACCCTTTATCTTTGATTTGTAACCAGATATTAGAAGGAAACAGTATGCCACACACATGGAATTCAGCAAAAATTATTCTGATCCCTAAACCAGATAGGGATCCTACTCTTATGAGTTCCTACCGCCCGATTTCGCTATTAAACCAGGACTATAAAATATTTACCGCCACCATGACAGCCAGACTTAACAAGATCATCGGGAACTATATACATCTAGATCAAACAGGGTTTATCCCCAATAGAGACATCACAGATAACACAAGAAAAGTCCTGAATGTTATCCAATTTAGTCGTTATAAGAATTTGAAATCTTCTTTCATTTTATCTATAGATTTTGAAAAGGCCTTTGATAGTATAGAAACAAGTTATCTCAAACATATTATGAAGCATATGAATTTTGGCCCCAAATTTTTAAATTCGATCTATACCATCTACCTAGCACCATCAGCATCTATTCAAACTAATAATATCTCCTCTGACAATATTAAACTTTCTAGAGGGACTAGGCAGGGCTGCCCTATTTCCCCACTTTTGTTTGCCATTGCCATAGAACCTCTCGCAAATGCCATACGCCTGAATACGAAAATTGAAGGTATTAACATCAAAGGTACTGAACTGAAACTCAGTCTATTCGCCGACGATATGGCACTATTCTTAACCGCACCAAAATCTTCACTCCCTGAAACCCAACATTTATTTACCCTGTTTAGTACCATCTCAGGGCTAAAAATAAATAATTCCAAATCAATTATTTACCCTATAAATTTATTGGAATCAGATAAATTTTATATTCAAAAAAACTTTCATTTTAGCTGGACCACAAGCTATTGGAAATATCTTGGCATAAACATCCCCTTAAACCTATTGGATATTCTTAAATATAACCATGAGGACGTAGCGAATTCCCTAGATAAATTATATACGTTACCTTCAGCACCGCTGTTGAACTGGATTGAAAAAATCCAAATATTAAAATCATTTATTTTCCCTAAATTTTTATATTTGTTTAGAGCAATTCCTATAACGATACCAACGGAAAAACTGAAATATTGGCAAAATAAGTTTTTAAAATATATCTGGAATAAATCAATACACAGAATAAACTTTTCAACTTTAAGGCAATTACCATCACAAGGAGGCCTTTCACTCCCTGACTTAACATTATACTATAATAGCACCACTCTTGTAGGCCTCCTGAAACAATGCTGTAACAATTATATAGCTGATTGGAAAACAATAGAACAAGAATACCTAGAAAATAACACTTTTGTCGAAACAATGTGGGAAAAGAAGCCAAAAAGATCACCAGATATACAAAAAAACCTCTTTTTAGAAAATACCTTAAGTACTTGGGACAAATGGAAAGCCAAACTGGCCCCAAACCCATCTTTACTTACCTGTTTCACACGACAATCCTGGTTTGTACCTGCCCTTCCTAACGATTCCTTTACAATCTGGAAGAAGAATAACATAGTTAGATTCCATGATATTGGAACAAACTTCCAAATTTTAGAAAAGAATGTTCTAGAGAAGAAATACAAAACTAAAATCCCATGGTACGAATATATGCAAATAAAACATTTATGGAACTCTCTCTTTTTTAAAGAGAATGTTCGCCAACAATATACTTCTTTTGAAAAACTAATGTCTCTACACAAGATTTCTAATAGAAATATGATCTCTACAATTTATAAAATCTTATTATCTCATCAGAATGACACATTTACTACCTATCAACTGGCATGGAACGCTGATTGCTCAACCTCTTTAACAGATCAAACATGGGAAAAAATTTGGTCTTCACCAAGCATGATGTCTAAATCTTTAAATATCAGGGCCCAGGCTCTTAAGATAGTTCTTAGATGGTATTATACACCTTTGAGACTTCATCAAATAAATATAGCACACTCATCTGTATGTTGGAGAGGATGTGGAGAAACAGCTAACTACATGCACTGCTGGTGGTTCTGTAAGAGAATCAAACAATTTTGGACAACTGTACTCCAAAACATCAGAACGATAACAAAAATTGATATACCTTTTACCCCAGATTTGTTTTTATTAGACCTCTGGCAAGATGCTAAGATCCCCTTATTGAAGAAGGACCTAATTTCGACTCTTTTAATGGCGGCGAAAACTGTAATAGCCGCTAATTGGAAAAGCACCTTGCCCATATCATTAAACCAATGGTATATCAAAATATGGGAGTACTATGCGATGGAAAAGATAATGACGACAGTACCACCAACAAACACTTATAAGAAACAGTCAATGTTTTACGCAAAATGGGTAGACTTTATTGAGGCGACTCTAGATCAATCCATAGTCCCATCATCTTCTGTTCCACAACGCTATAAAGAAATAATCGCACTTTTTTGAGATATGTGTCAACGAGGAAATAGATAAGTGTTATTGGAAATAATTGTTACGTTGTTGTTCATATATGGTTTGTTAGTTAAAGTCTATCATATTGAATTTGTGTATATGATATGCTATTTTTTTATTTGTATTGTTGTGTTATGTTATTGTTGAAAATTTAATAAAAATTATTATTTAAAAAAAAAAAAAAGAAAGCAAAATCAACTACAGTATAGAAATAAGGTTGCCAAGGAGAGGCGGGGAGGAAGCAACTTACCCTCCCTCTTCTCCTGCCTCCTCCTGGCTGAATGAGGGCTGGAAGCAGGGCGGCCGGAAGCAGGGGCGGGGCTTTGTCATGTGCCCCACCCCCTGCACCTCACCCGGGGAAACTGCGTTCCCCCGCGTTCCCCCCGAAATGACCTCTGAACATGACTACCCATCTTGATTTATTTCACATAGCAAATTAGTGACAAAGCAAAAAAGAGAAAAAATCCTCCAGATTCTCATTCTCTCTTTTTAATCCTAAAAAGATGCAAGTACTCAAACTACCCTCAAATATTGCAAAATTCACTTCCTGGATGTTATTATTCACAATCTTCAGTTTCTGAGTGCTTTCAAATAATGCCTGACTTTTTAATACCAGGATGTAGTGGCGAGATCTATACGTAGTGCTGTATAGCAAACCTTTCTTAAGTAAAATACAATTACTAAAGTTACATGTATTGCCTTGCTCTTTGTCAAAGAGAACCAAAAACATTTCTGATCACTTGTATACATCTGCTGATTCTTTGAAGTCTTATTTATATGTTCTCATATGGTAAATGATAACTCTTACAGGAGAGGGAAATGTTACATTTTACCAGGCACAAGACATTTAAAAATAGATAATTTGTTGGATCAGCCTTCACAGCAGAGAAAAAGGAAAGAGCAGAGGCCTCTAATCACATTTCGAACAGTTTTGAACCAACACTGAAATGGTGAAAGGCTTACTTTAACCGAGTTTTGTCACATTCATTTCTCACCAATATTGTCTGTTAACATATCCCTCTGCCTGTCTCTGTAGCAAATAAACCATTCCCTCCTGCCCCAGAACGTGGAGGGTGTGGTAGTTCAGCCTCCAGGTCTAAAAAGGAATACTCTCAAATGTACGCGCATAAGCCCCAGAGGCCTGATCAGAATTGCATTTGATATCTCAAGAGGCACCATGATTATGAAGCAGACTGTGAAGATCAAATCATGCAGATCATGTGCTATTGAAAAGCTATGAGCCATCTGTCCTGGTCACTGCATGCCAAAAAGGAACTCTCCATAAAACCTCTGCATTTCCCATTTTGCACACCTTCAGTTTCACCAAGCAAATCCACAGCAGCAAAGTAATGGTAACAGCACAGCTGCAGCATGTTACCAGAAAGAGGAAGGGACATTTCCAAATAACATCAAGATATGATGCAGACACAACAATGTGGGGCAGGAGGAGGCGCTACCTTTCCACCCATTGTTTGGTTCTCAATGATCATCCAATTTCCTTCTCCATATATAATTAAGCAACACTGGCAATCTATTAACATGCCTCTTTCAGTTACACATGCTCTTGTCATCATCTGTTTATGTCACCACAGTTTGTTTTTCCAGGAAGGGAAAGGAATTTGTAAGCCACTCTGAGGGCACGGTATAAATCCAATCTCTTCCCTATCCCAGTTTATGCCAGGCTCTATGTCTAGGGAAATAATAAGAAAGGAATGTGTGTTCTTTAAAATAAACTCTCATATTGCTACATGTCCTATACAGCTATGAAGGAAAGGGTTTGCTGGTATTCAAATAGTGACAAGAAGATAAATGGAGATGATGTTTGACTAGGGGTGGACTTCTGTCTCCTTGAAGGTGACCAGGGGGTAGAAATGTATTCTCCTGCACAAACTGACCTCTCATGAATAATAAAGTTGGTGCTGTCTAATCTGAAGAGTCTCACTGCAATGGAATTCAGGCACAGCATTATGTATATACTAATAATAAGGCCTTTTGCAGAAAGAAATGCAATGAACTCTAGAAAGAGGGCCTGGGAGAGTACTCTGGCCTGCAGCAGTCGCCTGTCCCCCCCTTGAGTGCCATGGCCAGACCACCACTGTCATGGGCGGCCCCCTCCTCCACCTCGGCGATCCCCCTTGCCCCGACTCTGGCTCCACGGCTTTTCTGTCCTCCCCCCCCCCCGGCCTGTTCTGACTTGCAGCCATTGTAAACAGCGTGAGGTGGGTAATGGAGCCGGCATGTGAGGTGAAGCCAGCTCGAGTGGCCGGAGCTGGGGAAGAAAGGTGAGCAGCCGGGGCAGCAGCGGAGTGAGAGGGGAACCAGCCACTGCTCGTTGGGTCCTCGCTCCATGTATGGGGTGCGCGAGGGATGGAGGGGGGCCATGGGAGAGGACCAAAGCAAGGACCCCCTCCCCACCCCCAATGCTGCACATAAGCCAGAAGGAAGGAGGCCCCAGCCATCCCCAGCCCCACAGTGAGTCCCGCCTATCCCTTCAGTCAGCTCCAAGCACACTGAGCCGGAGACGCTGGCTGACGCTTCTGTGGGTGGGACTCCGTAACCCAGGCAATGCCTTCTGAGTGGCAGTTCAGGCAGCCAACTGATTTTGGCGCACATAGAACTTTGCCACTCGAAAATGGAATTATATATAAGGAGAGATACATTCAAATTCTATTAAACATCCAAAAGAGAGAATAAATTTAATATGTGGACTATCTTTATTAGTGACAATCCAAAAACATTTTTCCCTGATTGTTGTAATCTTCTGTTATGTATGGATTAAAATTGGGTGGGATACAATGCTCCCTGTAAACTGTAGAGTCTGGTCACTTGTGCTTTTAAGTATGGATACAGCTGTCAAACCATCAGACTTCTGACATGCTCCAAAGCCTAACACAAAAGCTCCAGGGTAGATTTTGGCTTGGAACAGGGACAATACATATGAACAGAGAAAAAAGACCTTCCAGCAGGGCAACCCCAAAAGCAATGATAAAAAAGATAATGTATCTCCCTTCCTTCCCATAAAAAAGCAGCAGCTGAAAGTTGATAATAGCCTGCAGTCTGTCAAGGTTGAAATGTAGCCAACAACTTGCCCTTTGTTTCTCTAATGTAGATAAATATGCTGATGTCAGTGTAAAGGTCAATAGGATATTTGTGCTAATCCTGAGTTGCTCAAGGGAGTATCATGGTGCAGACATTACTTCATAATAACTATCTCTGGTTCAT